CCAACAGTTAGGTTTAAGCAACTAAACCAACAGTTAGGTTCAAGCAAGAAAACCAAGTTAGGTTTATGAAAACTGTCACACGGATGCATTTAATTTGTGTCGACCACAAATAAGGATCCTAATTGACTTTTCATTGACATTAATTTCGTGCTAAGCGTCATGAAAACAACAGACATTCGTGTCCCTGTACACGAAACCAATAGATTGCATTTCACAAGCTGCCGTGACACCGGGCTGAAGAACGGCAGCAGGATTAAAGTTAGTCGTCTGTCGGGTGACACCACCAACCACTTAGCTGCCCCCCCCACTAGTCCCGGCAGCTTCCCGGCTCCGTGACGTGACATCATGATTACAGGACGGTGAGCACGCGGGTAATCCGTGACATTTCGGGGATGTTGTGATTCATTGAAACGGGTTGAAGCTCTCTGCCGCCGCCGCTGCCAAGACAGCTGGTGGTGAGGTCATAGCGCTGGCCGGAGGCGACAGAGTGTGTGTGTGTGTGTGTGGTTGTAAGAAAGGTAAAGAGACAGAATATGGATTGGACAATCAAGAGGACAAGAAGGAGAGACGGATGATGTCACCCAGACGGCGGTGGACTCGCTCATAAAACATTTAGCAGCTACTCATCACACCAGCGGATATATGTGAGTGTCTGTTTGCATGTGTGTGTTGCAGGTAACGGTGTTTTCTTTTTCTTTAATTTTATTCTTTTTTTGATCAAACATGCATAATTTCTCTACTTCGCCTCTGACAGTCGTATAATTGACCAGAGTATAATTCAACAGCCTCTGCTCATGCCAACGTATGTTTTTTGAAGACGCCGCACTGAGCGAAAAAGAAATAAAATAATATTCATGATGAAATTCTGGTGAAATTTCCCTTTAAAATAGATTTTCCCAGAAAGAAAGGCAAACCCGTGTCTACTCTCTCCGATTGTTCCCCATTCGGTCAATCTCCCCCACCTCCCATTATTCCCTCCGCCTCCTTTCTCCCCCCTTCACACACCCGTCACCCTTCTTCCCCACAATAAACATCAGCGTATATATTTCTATTCACCAGATTAAAGTGTACTTATTAAGGAAGAGCTGAACGAGAAGCCAGGATATCGTAGGCAACTCAAATAGAAGCAAAGACAGTCTTAAGAAACCAGAATAGTCCTCGTTGCTATTATTAGAAGTCTCTTATTATTATTATTAGCGTTATTATTATTACTAGTATAACTGTTATTAGGATAAAGTAAAGTTCCTTGGCCCTTGTTGTTGCAGAGAGAGAGGGTGCGGCCTGTCGACAGCAGAGCGACGGTTCCACGTCGTTCTCTTTCAACCCAGCGATTCGGTTAAATCCATCAGAACCCTGAGTTAAAGGGGAGGTTATTCCATCTGGTCCACGGTCAATTGTTTTTGGCAATTTCAAGTTCGGATGTGCTCCATTTGGCTGAAAGGGTTTGTTCCGTTCAAATTCCGGCGGTTTCAAGAGGATTTAATTCCGATTCTCATTCCGTTGGTGTTGCGGTTAAAGGGCAAAAAAACAGGATTTTCTACTTTTTAAAGATATATCCTTTTCTGAAAAGTCGCTTTGGCTACTTGTAACTCCGTAATAATCATGCGTGTTTGATTCTTCCCAGGAGAAAGAATAAATCGTGTACTCTCAATTTAAACAACCTCCGTCGTTCTCTTGTGGCTTGGAAAGAAGGCAGACGTCAATAAAGACAGTTTGGCGTGATTTTGTGATTAAGAAGGAGACATATCTGACACCGCTGTCAGTTCAAGTTAAATTATGAATCTTTGTGTCATGAAATTTTAAACTATGAGGGGTTTAATGAGTGTAAAACATTCCCAGATACTAGAAACAGCTACTGCTATATGTGTGTGTGATGGGAAAGAATCGGAGAAAGTGACGCATGCAGGGAGCAGCACAACGTGGACGCTAATTCTAATTCGTTCTAAATCAGTTTTGTACAGTTAACGTGAAGAATATATTCAGAGGGACGGATAGTGAAGCTCCGGGTAGCCCTGCACTACAACCATTAACTTCTCCTTTTATTTGACCGTTTAGACCGACACATGATACAGAGAAGGTATCAGCTCTGATTGGTTGTCCCTCGTCACATGACACGCGGTGCATCGTTCCAAAAGTTGAACTATCTTTGATCTCTGGTCGCAGCCGTCGCGACACTGACAAAAACAAGCTGCGGCACGTGAACGGCTCTTTACTTTGGTAGCTCCTTCGCTTTCTATCTAGCTTGCCCACTGGGTATCTAGTTAGCGCTTGCTACCTAACTTGCATGGGGCAATCTTTTTAAATGGACAAGAGTAAACGATAATGTGTCATCCGCCATATTCCACCCAGATGATGTCAAACTGTTTTTATGAACATCTGCCCGGCGTCAGCATCCCTTCTGGAACCTTCACGGAAGCCGCTCCGCTCTTTGAAATTGTTGCCGTCTAGAATGCGCGTGATTCTGGAACCCATCCTGCTGAGTTCTAGAACCCCTCCCCCCCCTCTCTCTCGCTCTCTCTGTCTCTCTTCCTTTGAACATGTTCAGCCATTTAGCAAACAAACAAAGAAAAACAGTCTGGTTGTCCCTCTCTCCTATAGCTGCGTGGTCACGGAGTCCTCTATGACGTCATCGCAGGGTCCCACCCACCCGCCAATCATCACCCCCCCTCCTCCATCCACGCCGCCCTCGCCCGCTCCTCCCACGCCTCCGCCCTGGAAAACGTCCTCGCTGGAGTCCAGGAGGCGCGAGCTGGACTCGGACATGTTGGAAGCACAGTGCAGGGATTGGCAGGGGCACGGGGGCGGGAGGGGCAGCGTCAGGAGCGAGTCCCGCCCGTTCGTTCTCCGCGGGGAGAACGAGGGGTTACTGATGTCGACCGAGCGGCCCACCTCATTCAGGTGGGTCTCGCTCCTGGTCACGCCAACGACTCCGAAGTCGGCGTGGCCGTGGCTCCCCAGGGGGCGGAGCAACCCGTCGGAGATGGTGTAGGAGGGCGGGGACTGGAGGGGCAGAGGCATGGGCGGGGCTCGGCGCTTGGAGCGCGAGAACAGGTAGGAGAGGCGCTTGAAAGAGTCCGTCTTTGACCCCGGAGTCGAGAGGCGCTGCAGTCGGGTCCTCGTACGAGCGAACGATGAGGATAACGTCGAGGAGAACGATGAGGACGGGGACATGAGGACGTTGGTGGAGGACGGAGGGATGACGGTCGTTCTCAGCCCGTTGCTCTTTGGTTTCCCCTCCTCTTCCTCCTCCTCTTCCCCCCATCCAATGCCCTCCTCCAGTTCCTCCTCCTCCCCCTCTACGCCTCCTTCCAGCCGGGTCATCCCAGAAATGGAGCACACCAAGGCGGACACTCCGAGCGTCGGCGACTGCCCGTCGTCGTCCTGCAGCGGGTTCAGGAACGTCACGCCCTTTGACTTCGGGCCCCCAGCGCCGTCGCCCGATTCGCTGTCGTCCTCCGAGGCCATGGCACCGTCGTCTCTCGCCGCCTCACTGGAGGAGTAGTGACGCCGGGGAGGACGCCGGTTGCCGAGGAGATCCAAGACCTCGTAGCGGAAACTGGAGATGTCCTGCTTCAACTCCTGGAAAGAGACGGAGAGAGAAGTGTTGAGAATTGAATGTTATGTAACTCTTTTTGTTTACTTTAAAACAAAGACTTAATCTAAGAAGTGGATGTAGTCCTCATGACGTCACCCATTTGTTTCTGGACTACAGTTTTGATGCCTCGAGTTTGGCATTTTGGCCGTCACCATCTTGTTTTTTTGCAACCAGTGAACAGAAGTGACCATATCTGGACTGAGGAGTGACGTAGAGACGCCTAATACGGCTCTGGTAGCGTCAGCGACCTGTCAATCACTGTAGCCCCGCCCTAAAGCATCCCCTGCTTTATGGTCTGTGTGACTCTAAATGGACCATAATGTACTAAATGAACATCATGCTGTATTGAAGAAGACTTGAAACTAGAGATTGAGACCATAAACTCATGTTTACAATGTTTACTGAGGTAATAAATCAAGAGAGAAGTAGAGTCATTTTCTCATAGACTTCTATACAACCAGAGGAGTCGCCCCCTGGTGGACACTAGAGAGAATGCAGGTTTTAGGCAATTTAGCATTGACTTCATCTTTCAGAATTTGGGATTAAGGAAGAAGAGAGTGTTGAGAAATGCTGAGAAAGAAAGAAAAAAAATAATTCCAATATTGGAGCAAAACAACATTTTTTATCAGGAAGGCTGCAAAGTTTATTCCAAAGCTTTAAATGGAATAAATATGTGACATTCAGGGGAAAAACTGGAGAGAGAAAAATAAACAGCAATAAAGCAGAAGAGGGTGAGGAGGGGAAGTGGAAGAGATGAGATTGGTGACTGAGTGAGAGAGGGGAGGTGAAACATCAATTTGTGGAGGCAGGAGGTGAAGAGGAGGGTAAGGACTCAGGAGGACGGTGGTGAGGAGAGGGGAGATCGAGGTCGAGAGACCAACAGAAGAGACAAAGAGAGAGAGTGGATAAGTGGAGGCAGAAGAGAGTGAAGAGAGAGGAGGGATGAGACTCCAGTAAACTCTTTCTCTCTTTAACCAAATCAATCGCTTAATTCACTTTAAAGTCTTTACCGCCGCGCTCACGAAATACTCTCAGAGATTCAGTACAAATCTGTAAAAATTACATATTATTTAAAATTCTGTCTTTTTACCCATTTATGGGCTATAATGACATCATGTCATCATCACAGAAAATATAGAAAAGAATTAGCTGTAATGTATGTATAACTTTAGGTTGATGTAGGGTAAACAATCCCAGATCTCTCTGACCAAACTGTCGGCCGTCAAGTTGCATTGTGGGTATTTTAGGTGCCAAGAATACGTAGTATAAAATAAAAATGATTTTTGTTTTCTTTACAGAAATTAAAATGTTTTTATATGATAAGTGTTTACATTAAAGGGTTACTCCAAGTAGTATTTCACTTCCACAGAGTTGGGAAAGCCAACGTTGTCTTCAGGACATGAACACTGGTCTCCTGGGTGAAAGTCCTGTGTTTGTTCATTTTCTTCTTCACAGGAAAACGTGTCATGAAAATCACTTTGAACCAAACGTGCTGCACGTTCAGTTTGTTGTTGACACAATGCTGTTTTTATTTAGAATCAATTAACTCACAACTTAAAATTCAGCCTGTAGCTTTAACAGAAAATCGACATAAACGCTGACATAGACGTCCGCTCTGTTTACTTCCACTGGACGTTGTTTCTCTCCCCGACCTACCGACGAGCCCGGAGCCAAAAAGCTCTTAAAGTAAACTTGAATCCTTCGTTTCTCTAAAACACGATCACAGCTTCTCCATCTTCTTTTTCTTTTCTTTTCCGCTCGCGACATGGGATCCAAATGCTGCACACGTGGCTTCATTCCTCAGAGAACAAAACCCTGTGATTTACTTCGGCATGCAGCTGATGTTAGATACACATTCTAAAACACACACACACACACACGCACACACACACACACACACACACACACACACACACACACACACACACACACACACACACACACACACACACACACACACACACACACACACACACACACACACACACACACACACACACACGGGGTGTGAAAGGGATTCAGCTCGATGTGCACCTGATGTTGTTTTTGAGTCGAAAAAGCCCCAAAAGGAAACTTTCCACTTCAAAGCCCAGGCTGCGGCTCCAGAGGCATCATGGGAAACAGACTCTGCAGCTGAAACGCGGAATAATTTGGCTCAGAATATTTGAATCTCTCCTCGAGGACCATCGACTATGAAGCGTTGGTATTGATCAGAGCTGCAGATATTTCTTTGGGGGGGGGGGTAGTAAACCCGTTTCATCTTCTGATAAATCTTTGTGGTGATGAAGCACAGCTCTGCTTCTGCTATCAATAAAAGAAACCTGCACAGTTTAGTGCAACACCAACAATCAGCGGCTTGATGCTCCTGCAGCTCTGCAGGGTGTCCAGCGCCACACTTATGTGATTTACTGCAGAACAACAGACTGATTCATGTTCGACTTATTGTTACATTTTATTTTTAAAAGCACCCACCTTAAAGTTCTCCTCCGTCAGTCCCTCGTCCGTCTTGGCGCTGCGTATCATGGCCGCTACGTACCTCTTCACCAGGCTCCGGATCACTTCCTGTTGGAGAATTGTCATTATTTGACCATAATTTGGATATTTTAATCTTTCTTCAGCTGTTAGGAAAGTCACAGAACGATGTCATCAGGTACAAAATAAAGGAGGAAGATGAAGACAATGTTGGCCACTTTTAATGATTAGTTCAACATTCATTGTTGTCAGTGTTTCTCTGATAATAAAGTGTAAAACTGTGACATTTTAAACACGTCTCTCTTTGCTGAACGCAGAATATTTCAACCCAACTGATGAATTTAAACGTTCTCATCTCATTAAGTATTCAGCCAATGAGGTGACTGACCCTCGTTGATTTAAAAGATCAAAGACGAATCTCAGCATTTGGTGATCAGTGGGCGGCAATTCAGACCCTGACACACACACACACACACACACACACACACACACACACAGACACACACACACACAGACACACACACACATGTGCGCACGCATGCACGCACGCCCACACACACGCGCACACACACACACACTGCATCCTCCCACGGTCAACACCTGCGACTGCCAAGCGGGACGGTCTGGCATGCTGTCACTCTCCGCCTCTGCCAGAAACACACACCACTCACTCTGTGAGAGTGAAGGGCACATTCCTACAACAGTCCTTAAAACATAAAACATGGACGCCGATCAACGCGACAATCAGCGCCGCCAAACACAAAGTACTGGCGTTCCTGCGTCTGCGGCCGCTGCCAGTGCCGAGGCGTCAAGAAATTCTGACAAAAAGCTGGACATCAGAGTCCAAAACAACTCTCGCTTTAATACTTGGTACGATGTGATAATACTTTGGAATAGTAGTGGACGCGGTGTACTAATACACGGAGTACACAAGGTGAGAAGTCAAACCACCGGAGGCCAGAAAAACAAGGTTAGGCCTACTCTGTTAAATCTATGTGTTGTATTAAAATAAGGGGGGGGGGGGGGGGGGGGGATTTAGAGAAAGAAATCTGAAATTCTGGGATTAAAGTTGTAAATTTATGAGAAAAAAACTCACACATTTGCGAGAATACTCGCCCTAAATGCTCTGATTAAAGTAAAATATGTATGTAAACTAAACGCAGGCAGTTCACACACACGCACACACACATGCACACACTCACACACACACACACACACACACACACACACACACACACACACACACACGGAGCAGTGCCGGGTGCACAGACCTGGTAGTGCTGATTCTGGATCAGAACGTCAGCGTGGCGTTCCTGCAAACAGAAAGAAGAGATTGTGTTCAACGTTCGACCATCACTTCACATTCAGTCCACTGTTCTTTTTTAAAGTATGTTTAAAACAGTGACGCCTTCTCTCTGAGGAAGGAAGGAAACAGGTAACAAATCACTTCTACAGCCTCCAACGAACAACAACTTCTGCTCTTCATTTCCATTTCCAGGCCTTCAGCCGGTGCTCTCATGCACACACAGAAATCTCATCGTGGCCTTTAAAATGTGATTCTAATCCTTCGTCTTCACCATCCTCCTCATTGTAGAAGAAGATTGTGGTTACGTTTGGATTCATAAGTGATTGTTCTGCAGGGATTTTGATGTCATGTTGTGATGTATCATATATGTTTGCATTGATGTTATTTTGTTTCCGTGCACTCGGACGTCCTCGTTTATTTCACATTTTGTAAAAACGTCTCGGGAAAGCAGCGGGAAACAAACCGCTAAAAGAAAATATTGCAAATACGAATAATTTACACATCCTCCAGTTCACCCCCCTCCAGGTGAACACTGTTAGCTCTGTCAGCGCTGTTGCTGTAACTTGCGCTGTTAGCGGCGTTAGCAACGTTAGCTGTTAGCCGCTGCCATGTTGAGAGCCGTTCAGAGTCAATCAAAATGCTCCCAATCTCATACATCGCACCTTTAAATTAAGGATCTGTTGTAAACCTGCTTCCATCCTCTTCCTCCTCGCCTATTATCTCCTTCCGTATATATCTCATGCAGGTTTTTCAGCTTGCTGTACACACACACACACACACACACACACACGCACACACACACACACTGGCTCTCTCCCTTGATCAGATCTCTGCAGTGCTGTGTGGCTCTGTGAACCTATGTGGGCTGCTCGGCTTATATAACTCAGCCGACTTCAGCTGAGGTGAACATGCCAGCTGCAGTGTGTGTGTGTGTGTGTGTGTGTGTGTGTGTGTGTGTGTGTGTGTGTGTGTCTCCAGATGACTGGACCGTTAAATGTGTTTATCAGGATGTGTTTATCTGCCGATGTTCTTTCTGTGCTCACAGACGCACAGCTGATGTCGGTCCATGTGATGTCTGCTTGTGCTTCACGTCCACGTCGCTCCTGCAGCTCTTTGCTTCATTTGGTCCTTTTCATAGTTAGTCAGTAAAAGTACAAGTAGTGATACCACAGTGTGAAAGTACTCTTAAGTCCTGCATTCAAAATGAAAAGTAAGTAAAAGCAACAAAATGTACTTATTGTATTAAAAGTAAAAATACCCACAATGCAGAGTGGCGCCCGCCAGTGTTTTACTATTATATTGTATTAATGCATTATTATTATTGTTGTATTAATATGGAAGTGGTACTATACTGTATATATATATATACCACAAAATTAATTTGTATTTATTCTACATAACCGAATAATGAAAAGTCTAACGAGCAACAAAACAGCTTTGGTTGAGGAGGAAGCTGTTCGTGTCATGTGTGTAACCAGACGTCACAGCGTTGAGTTATTCATCACATCATTTATGTATTTATGTGATGCCATCTGTACTTATTAAAACACAAACGACAATCTGTTCTTCAACCTAACCAAGTAGTTCTGTTGCCTCAATCAGAAGCATGAGAGAAGCTTTCAATAAGCGTTGAGGACACGTTGAGTTACTGATGTCTGTGGTAGTAGAGGTGTAATAAATGTGCAGCTAGCAGGTCGTTATTGCAAAGTGATTCACTGCGGTACATCTTTTACTTATACTTCTGTACTTTGATGAGTTTTGGTACTTTGGGAAAACATTCATTTTTCAACGCCAAAGACAGAAAAACTTTAGTCGCATTTTCACTTCTTTTAAAGCCTTCTTTGTCTGCCTCTTGATTGTACTTTCTTCCTCAGCAGATGGAAAAAATGTCCAAACAAAACAAACTAAAGTCCTCAAACACACTCACAGCGTTTATAAAACTGGACTTCAGGGAATATCCGCTCACAGAAGATACAAACCAGACCAGTGACGGTGCGTCACACATTCAGGTCAGCTCCGAATCATCTCCGCTTTCTTTACCGTCATCATGTTGAGCTTCTCGTGTGAACGTGAAAAACACAATCTGAGTTTCCCCCCTGAAGACGGAGCGTGTTGCTTTGACTCTCAGTCCTCCTGTTTGCCTGTGAAGCCCCGAGAATCCTCCGGTGACTTGTTAACGTGAATATCAGCATACGGCCTTTTGGGGCTCTCGCAGCTCGTTAGCGTGACGGTTGAGCGACGGGCGTGTTGGACACGCCGGCACGCTAACGTCACACGGATAAACACTGCGTTTACTCTTCAGTTGGTGAACTTTGGGAGGTCCGTGTGAAGTGGTTCCATCTGCAGCACAACCGATCGGCTTCACTTGTTTGCAGATGAATGAAATGAAGATTTTAATGACGAGGCGATGTTAACAACACCGTTTACGTTCGCACAACAATCGAATAGTTGCCAGTGATTTAAAACAGATAATGCTGCATTCTTAAATGATAAATAATATGCGCATAAAACGATGAGCGGCGATGATGCCTTCACTGACCGTGAACTCTCGGAGGTTTTCACATTTGTGCGAGTCCTCCCCGGGCAGCTGGCCTCCCCTGCACAGCTTGTTGTGGAGCCACACCAGCAGGTAGAGGATGGACTTGGGGCTCGGGATGATGTTGAACGGAGGCGGCAGCGTGCCGCCCTCGTCGAAGTAACTCATCCACAGCTTGGTGCGGGCGAACTTCCACTCGATGTCGGCGTGGTCCTGCGGGACGGAGACGAGACAGCTCGAGGTCATGTGATGTGATGGTTTTTTTCTTCTAAATGAAATGTGGTGAAGCAAGTTAAAGAGACAGGATGATTAAAACCCGCTGAACCCCAAAACCGGATGGAAAAGCACATTTTCAATAAACAATCGCCAAAAGGACACATTCATCATCACAGCCATATGCTGTAAGCACAGTCATCATCTTAAGATTTTCATCTTTCCGATGATCTTCAAACACATCATGTGCTGTGAAGGCAGATCAAAGAAAGCAACACAACTAAGATTAAAATTGTTATATTTCATCAACATTTTATTCTACACGTCTCATTTAAAAATGTTCCCCGAATAAACCGTTTGCTTTAACCAGATTGTGTAAAAACCATAAAATTATGAGCTCCTCAGACAAATCAATCAATGCTTCCTAGTTGCTCTGAGACAAACAGTCACGTGACAACAATTCTGTGAAACTTCGACTGAACTGCTGCTGAACACCGAGCAGAGGAGAGGAGAGGAGAGGCTGGGAGAAGAGCTTGTTGAAATATTAATAGTTTATTATAAATAGCACATAGAGCCTCCATTTCTTTCCAACATTGGTAACAATTGTGGACACTTGGAGAAATGTTGGATGTATAGATTCCATTGTTTTCCAATTTTTGTAATGTTGTCTGTTATTCTGCACTAAAGACATGTTTTCAGCCTGGACCCTATTTTATACATTTCTTGTTAATGTTGTCACTTATAACAACAATCTGAGCAAAAAGAAACACTTTTGATGTGAAGAAGTGCCAGATATGATCACATTACTGCCCGTCTGCAGCATTCTCCCTCAATACTGGAGCAGTTCAGTCACTTTGACTCAAAAACATGAGACAATCGGGTCCAAAATAAAAAATGGTATCAAAGTCACCCTCCCAGTCTGTTCTAGTTAAAATGATTTAATTAACAATTCTATAAAAACACAACAAAGGCAACAACGTCTCTCTCTGGAGGAGCTGGAACCTGCGAACAGTTAGTGACTCACAGCGATCAGCTGGTACGAGTTGTTCATCATGGCGATCAGCATGTTGAGCAGAACCACCAGCGAGATCACGTTGTACGTCCCGAACATGGTCGCCCCGACGAACTCGGTGAACTCGTGCCGGGCCTTCACGTTGGTGACGTAGAGGTTCAGCAGCCCGAATATGGACCAGAACAGAGACTGGAGGGTCTCGAACAACCTGAGGACGCAGAGCCACAGACAGTCCTTTCTTCAGAGGACAGTTACTAAGACAATGAATCACTTCTAAAGGAAGAGACAGACGCTCATCAGAGAACGTTTCTATGAAGAGCTGCACCTCAATCTGAGTTTTGAAACATAACTCTGTCACTTTGTTGTGATTTTGTCAGTTTAAGATCCTCAGAAACATTCATCTGTCCCAAAAAAAGCACAATAAACTTCAGCTGATGAAGCGTTTAATTCACAGTGACAGACGACTGCGAGGCTAATTATTTATGTGACGGTCATTAAAAGTACGAGCAGATTCATGTTGGCAGACAGACTGCTGTCTGATGCCCATATTTCATATTTAATGTATTTAACTGAACAACAGAGAAAGTATGTTTCAGAAAACAGAGCTCTTAAGTTACAGATCGGTTACGACAGGTTCTGCCCAGTAAACGAGGTAACGTGCTCACATTCTTCTTGGTGTGAATACGTTTTGGGCGGACTTAGAAGATATGAGACGCGTCTTAGTGCCGTGAAACGAAACAGTATAATTCATCTTCAGCATGATTTGTAGTGAAACGACTCACTACAGGAGTCAGCCAGTACATTTAGAGAGAAGAGCTGGAACCGTTAACGGATCACAGTCAGTGAGATCTGTCTCAATGGAGCTAAACTGAAACAACAAGTTCAAGCTGTAGAGAAGAGAATCACAGGAAAAGCTACATCAACGTGTTTTCACATTTAAAATCATGTAAAGTAGAGGAAATACACATTTCTGATCGTTTCTCATCGACGCTCAGTGTGATTGAGGATGTTATTTAATCCTCAAACAAATAATATTAATAATCTCAAACTATGTTTTTCCCTCCGGGCTTTCTTCCAGACAAAAAAAGCCGACAATATATTTAAAAATCAACAACTATCTCAAGTCAGTTATCAGTAACGTTAACTGTGAATGTCTCTGTTAAAGGCCATTAAGATGCGTTATTGTGACGAACAAACAGGAAGTTATGAGACAGTATCATCAGCATAGCATCGAACCTTCTGAAGTCAAACTGCATTCAGCAGTCTGAACGTGGACAATAACATTTATAACACTTTTTACAAAAACAGTACAAAATGTAAACCGTACTTGGTGTGTGATTTACACCTCGTTATTTCATTTAACTTGTCTTTTTGCTTTTTAATAACCCCACATGTTTTTAATCTGTTCATATTGTAAACAAATTGTGACGCACTGAACTGTTCTCAATAAAGCAAACCGGCACATTTACAATTTCAATGTGTGCTCTCTGAAGGCTAGGAAAGGAGCCTCCGTATAGGATGCATCCTTGGTAGGATGCATCCTACCAAGGAAGCATCCTTGACTTTGAGAAACAGGAGTTTCATAGTTAAACTGCGTTGAAGGTGGAGCAGCTGAGACGTGATCCACGTAGTAAAGATCAAATCAGAGTTTTTATCATATGAAAACCTCCCTCCATCTTCCTCCCCTCCTCTCCCACCTCCTTCACTCTTACCCTCCCTCCGTCCTCCCTCTGTTTGTGTGACAGTCACAGTTACAGCAGCAGCTTATTGAATTTTTGATGAAGCGACAATTGGCAGAGCCAAGACGCTTCGTCTCACAAGAATGAAAGAGAGAGCGAGAGAGAGGGAGAGGGAGAGGGAGAGAGAGAGAGAGACAGAGAGAAAGAGAGAGAGAGGGAAAGAGGGAGGGAGAGAGAGACAGACAGAGCGAGAGAGAGGGAGAGAGAGAGAGGTTTTGTCTACAGGGTTTTATATTTGTGCTGCATAAAATATTCATAGCAATGTGTGTGTGTTTTGCAGTAAGGTGTGTGAATGGTCACTTAATCAATCAGTATACAGTGTGTGTGTACTCAATGGGAGGGAGGCTGTGATGAGAGAGAGAGAGAGAGAGAGAGAGAGACGATGAATGAAGCAACCAAGTGTGACATCGAGTCACAGTTATAAAACAGAGAATAAAAGATGGACGCCAAAAGAAACAGAATGAAGGAAACAGGATTTAATGGATCTCTTGTAGCCGTTAACTCATTATTCCTTTGTGTTTCATCTCCTTCTTCACCTCCTTTTTGTCTCCTCTTATCTCCTCTCTGCCATTTTCTCCCCTCCTTTCCTTGTTTACTCCCTTCCTCTCTTCCTCCTCCCTCCTATCTTTGTCTCCTCTCCCTTAGTGTTTCCTTTCCTTGATTCCTCTGCTCTCCCCTCATTTATAAAAGTATCATCATCAAAATATACTTAAAGTACCAAAAGTAAAAGTACTCATGCTGAATAATATATAATATTAATGTAATATCTTTGATGTTGCAGCTTAATTTCTTATTTTTTATTGTGAACTAAAAAGTAAAGTGTTAGCCTCTGAAATAGCTGAAAATAACAATATGATCGTATATTTGTACTCATGTACAGTACTTGAGTAAATCTACACTTTGTTACTTTCATCCACTGTGTCCTTGTCTCCTTGTCTCCTCTGCTTTCCCTGTTTACTCTCTTTCAAAAACAACTTTATCGACAAATCAGAACGCAGCTCTGCCGCTCCGGAACCCAATGCTGAGTCAGCGTAAATATAAAAATAATGGATGACATAAATAAAGTGGATCTTTGTCCTCCAGAGGAGCAGCAGCCTGTTGTGGTTTTAAATCTCAGATCATTATGGGATGCATTAAAGTCTGATGTGATTCATGAATGCGACACTTCATCAGCCGGAAACAAGTTTTATAAAGTCATCAACTGTTATCGGAGGGAGCAGACTCCTTGTTTTCTCTCCTCTCCTTTCCTTGTTTCCGATCTTTGTTTCTGTTCTCTCTCCTTGCTCCACCTCTTGTATCCACCGCCCAATGATTCATCCCTCCTCTCCTTGTACCCTCCTCCTTTTTCCTCTCTTCTCATCTCTCATCTCCTTTCCTTTGTCACCTCCTGTCCTTGTTTCCTCTTCTTATCACTCATCTCCTTTACTCATCTCCTCCTCACCTTGTTTTCTCTCATCTCCTTTCATTTGTCACCTCCTCTCCTTGTCTCCTCTCCATATCTCTCATCTCCATCCCTATATCCTCTCCTCCTCTCCCTGTCTCCTCTCCTTATCTCTCATCTCCATCCCTATTATCCTCTCCTTGTCTCCTGTCTTCTCCTCATCTCTCATTTCCTTTCCTTTGTCATCTCCCCTCCTTGTTTTCTCTCCTTTCATCTCTCATCTTCTTTCCTTTTATCCTCTCCTCCACCCTTGTCTCCTCTCTTCATTTCTCCTCTCCTTCCCTATTATGCTCTCATTTTCCCCTCCTGTACTCCTGTCCTCTTTTCCTCATCTCCTTCCCTCTCCTCTACTCAACCCCCCTTTGTTTCCTCTCTCTTCTGCTTTCCTTACCTCCCTTCCTTCCCTTGTTTCTTTTCGTCTACTGTCCTCTCCTCGTCTCCCCCCTACTTCTTGTATATCTTCTCATCATTTTCTCTCTCCTGTCCTTTAGCTGCCCTCCTTGTTTCCTCTCCTCTCTTTTCATTATCTCCCCTCCTTCCCTTTATTTCTCCCCTCGTCTCCCCTCGTCTCTCTCATCTCCCCCTCCACTAAGCCGAGTCATAAACTGCTACAGCTGATCCCCACAGCCACTCAGTCATTTCACTGCTATAGCTCTGCAGTTGTGTGGGAGGCAGGCCGAGAGAGAAGGAGGGGGGAGAAAGAGAGAGAGAGAGGGAGAGAGGGAGAGAGGGGGGGAGGGAGGGATAGAGGGAGAGAGAGGGGGGTCTTGGTGTGTGACACACTGCATACACTGTTTCTGTGTGTGTGTGTTTCGACTTGCAGCCCAACAGCATGCAATTAAATCATTCCTATAGTGCTTGTGTTGAATATGAATATGTTAGATTTACTGTGTGTGTCTGTCTGTGTGTGTGTGTGTGTGTGTGTGCGTGTGTGTGCGTGTGCATGTGCGTGCGTGTGTGTGTGTTGTCATCACTAGTGTACACTGAAATCTCTGCAGCCGACTGCAGACACTCTCTGAAGGCCTTTACACACCGGGGGCGTGACGAATAAACAAAATGAAACATTCCAGAAGAATATTGAGCATAAAACTATTCAGACCGACAGCGATGTGACTTTGCGACAGTTGCAACACTTTTTCAATAAAAGGTTTGAATAGACAATGTATGTGGTTGTTTTTTCCCCTCTTTGTAGTCGTTTTGTGTCTCTTTGTGTCTCTTTGTAGTCATTTTTTGTCTCTTTGTAGTCATTTTGTCTCTCATTGTAGTCATGTTTTGTCTCTTTGTAGTTGTTTTGTGTCTCATTGTAGTCATGTTAAGTTTCTTTGTGATCATTTGAGTCTCTTCCTGGTTGATACCATGTTGGTTCATTTCACTTTGAAGGAAATTGTGTAGTTGAAGGCCGGGGGTCCCTGGGGCCTGTTCAGTAATCCATCCATGGCTGTGTTGTCTTCTTGTGTCTCTCTAACTTGTTACTGGCCCAACACTCACATAGATGTACTCAAAGAACTTAGAGTTCATGATTTAGATCCCGACTTTATATTTCCAGTGTCTGTTTGGTTGAAAAGGCCTCAGAATGAGAGTAGCAGTGCTGAGGAGGTGAGACACATAGCGAGAGTAAAGAGAGAGAGAGTGTGAAAGACGGTGACGGAGTATTTACATCTTTTGTTTGAAGGAAGAAAAAGAGTGAGCGAGGTGGAGACAGTGAGACAAACGTTGTGTAACACATTAACGGTGATACGTGTGTGTGAAGCGCAGATGAGCGAGAACGACACACCTGAGAAACAGGAAACGATGTCACAAACGCTGATGAGTGTGTGTGTGTGAATTACAGGAGCGGGATGCAAAGAGGAAACAATTGTAAATTCATGAATGTTGATTTGCTGGCTTCGACCCGGCTCCCGTTTGCATTATGCATCATCTGAGCCGTCGCTCGCTCATCTAGCTTCAGCGTGAGGCTGATTTATTTTACGTCTGAGTCGATGCGCAGACGAGAAGCTGTGAGAGCAGCTGTGATCACGGCTTTTGTGTCTTTTGTTTGTTCAAGTCAAGGTTCGCTGAGTGCGTTTGTTCTTTCCTCAGCATCTTAGCGAGGAGGTCGGCCTGGATTTAAAAAAGACATTAACCATCTCATGCCTCGACTCAGCATGTTTAATAATCAAAACATTCCGTCTCTTGATCTGTAACGCCACAGAGACGACACTCTGTTTATGAATTCATCTAGAACAAAACACCTTTTAACCTTTAATAAACACTCACACAGATAAAAGTTTAAAACCGCTCCCCTCCTATCATTGTCCCGAGCACTTCGCTGTAATGGAATCGATCATCAATCAATGCGGCTATTATCTAAAGCACACCACACTCCTCATCAATATTCGGCCCCTGACTCGGCTTGGACCTCACTCTGCCTCCATCAGCAGAGACACACTGATCTCTGTGTGTGTGTGTGTGTGTGTGTGTGTAAGTTTGCATTATGGCCGACGCAGCAGCTCTGGACACCTCGGACAGGGTTTGATCATCAGGGCGATGTGTGTCATGACATTTAAATGGATGTTTGCCTCTCTGCCGGCTGATAGTATCACAGCTGTTATTAGCAAACATCGGGCTTATTTGCCAACATTTGCCAAAACTGCAGACCTGCTGAAACTCTGCAGGACAGGATTTTACAAATGAATGTTTGAGTAAATAAATATCTAGATCTGGTGGTTTGAGCTAAATGCTAACGTGCTCTTAATGCAAACATGCTGATGTTTAGCATGTTTGCATTCTGGCATTTGCTAGTTTCTATCTCATAAAAACTCACAATTTGTTAGAATAACAACATCAACATTAATGAGCATTTATAAATGACCCTTTGTCCACTTGTAAAAGGCTAAAAACCTTCAAATAGTGCATTCGTCCCCTATCGTATCTCCGATTAAGTCTTCTCAAAGGTCCATTGAACCCAAACAGATCAAAGTGGTGCTGCTTCACCTTTAGCTTCAGTGTTTCTCTCCTCAACACGTCCGTTCAAAGACACACACAGGGACTCACGGTGAGTGTTCTGGGTGGTACTCACGTGGAGAAGGCGTTGTTCTGCCTCTCACAGCGGATGCCTTTGCAGTTGTTGGGTTCCTCTGAGGCCTTGGTCTCATAGTAGAAGTACAGCTGGTTCAGGCCATTGGCGAACGCCAGCAGGACCTAAACAGGGAACATGTTCATTAATGTATGTCAGGAGTACGGAGAGATCTCTATCTAAGGAAACAGGACTTCATCGGAGCTTTGTTTTTCTGTTTGAAATGAAGCATTCTGGATCTCACATGACGTTGTGTAACTGAGGTCGACCCTCTGCTCCTCCAGGGCGTTCTTCAAACACAGAAGGCCGTGTTTTCTCAATCTGGAGTTGCGTAAAAGCTGCAGCTGAGTGAGCGTGAAGCGATGTGGCTTCGGTGCCGCGGGCTCTCCGAGGTGGACTTTAGGACCACGGGGAGATGAGCGGTTCTCGTGGGGGTTGTGTTGTGGGTTAGGAGTTCCCCTGAGAGCGAGTTAATGAGCTCTGGGTGTAATGAAAGAGATCCGCGGTCTCCTTCATCAAGGATGCATTGTGTTGTTTTAGAAAGAATGCACTTGATGGAGGGAAATGTTTTCACAGTAATTTGAAGAATTAATTTCTTCTGTTGAGTTTTGCAACTTCCTGATTTTTCATTCGGGTCAAAAATTTTGAATTGTCCAACAGCTCAGGAACGAGTTCATGTCAAACTTCGGGATGAATGCTAAATGTTAATATTCAAACAGTCATTTTCTCATAGACTTCTATACAACCAGAGGAGTCGCCCCCTGGTGGACAGTAGAGAGAATGCAGCTTTAACACATGAAGCATCGAGTTCAGTTTTCACTTTTCATAGTAAAGGTAATACTTCATTTATAAACCATCCTACAACTTTGTTTTCTGGTGTGTTAAGAGCATTACGGTGGAAAACCGTCGCTAGCGCTGCTAAGTAATCATCTTTGTGTGATATCTGAGGTTGGATGCGGTCGTCTCACCAGACAGTAAATGAAGAGGAACTTGAGGATGTCCAGCAGCATCCTCCCCAGTGAGATCTGCAGCGGCCCGAGGTGGGAGTTGGCGGTGAAGAGGGAGATGAGTCTGAGCGAGCTGAAGATGTTGGCGATGGCGAACAGCGCCTCGGCTATCAGCGTCGGGTGCCACATCTCCCACTCCTCCCTGGGACGAGAGGAGTTGTACTGGAGAGAGAGGAAGACATTAAGGGATGAGGAGGACGAATGCATGAAGCATCGATATGTCTTGGATTGTTGTATTTTATCAAAGTGAACGTTATCTCCTACCAACAGCCAACATTGTCAACACGACCATTATGTTTCCCTAACCTTAACCTCACATAACCCTCACCATAGCTTTAGCAGATTCCTTGTAAGATCATGATGTTTTTGAAAGCATCGCCCCTAATCCTCTGAGTCCACCTCAAGCTCACTGCTGATCTTCTGAAACTCGACACACTAATCGCAGATCACTCTCAAACACTCTCACTCCTGCATGCTTAACACACCTTCTTCCCTTCGTTTGTTTCTCTCATTTTATTTACCCTCCTCTTTCTGTCAGCGTTCTCTTTGTTTACGGCTTTTAAACTTTGCTTTACATTTATCCGTCTCCCTCCAGCCACCATCTCTCTCTCCCCTCTCGCTTTTCTCATGCTCGGCTTCCCTCCTCATTCCAGATTCAGTCAATAGACTTCCACAAGGAGTCTGTCCTGTTAGATGTGCCGCTATTAGTATTCACCGTCCACACACACACACACACACACACACACGAACAGGGTGATAGCCGAAAACAGAAACATGCTCACTTAATTTATCTACTCTGTCCGTCTGTCTTTCTCTATCTCAGACACACACAATCCGTTCTCACTCATCAAATCAAATCAAAAACTGATCAAATACCGACAAGTTTATTTTGAAAAGACAATGTTTCCTTTGAACACGGAGGTTTATTTTGAAAAGACAATATTTCCTTTGAACACGGAGGTTTATTTTGAAGATACATCACACATGTAACGAGCAGAAACTGTACGTTTCCTGTGAACACAGAAAGTTTCACAGAAGTTCCCGCCTCCAGCTGCTGCTTCAGTCAGTGTGTGTTATTGAACGCATGTACGGATACAGTTGTGTGTGTGTGCACACTTTGTATCTGTATGTGTGCTGGATGTGTGTACGGGACCTGAGTAGGAGGGCCACCCGCCATCATCAGTGACTCACAGCTGCTGCAGATGGCCCGGCCGTCTGGCGTGTGCATGTCTGTGTGTGTGTGTCTGTGTGTGTGTGTGTGTCTGTGTGTGTGTGTGTCTGTGTGTGATTACACCATTCGCTCTTAATAAACAGATAGATCTTATATGTTTGCAGAGTATCATTAAAGATGAAAGCCGTGCTGCAGAAAGTCCGGACATCATTACATTTGAGTCCCCTTTTAAAAAGGTCAAAGGTCAGTCTTTACCTTAAAGTAAGCCACGATCTTCAGCGATATGGTGGCCAGGTAGAGTGAGTTCATGGCGAAGTCCATCAGGTTCCACCAGTCGTGGATGTACTCTGTGAATCCCCCGTCCCACATCTCCTTAATCTCTGCCCAGATGAACCCTGAGAACACACACACACACACACACACACACACAGTCACACACACACACACACACAGTCACGCATGCATGAGGATATTAATATCATCCACCAGCGGCTTCTGTTTGCTCGCTTTATTTTGTTGACTATGTTCTGTTGGCAGCAGCCTCGGGCTGGAGAGCCGGCACATTTGTTCTGAACCACTGATTTTGGACAACAAGTCAGGTTTTATTCTAAATAATTCATCAGTCATTTTTCTATTATTTTCTGTTCTAACATCTGCTCTTCTGAGACACGTGTGATTAACGTTGGTTTCTGAACTTTAAGTTTCCATCAGAACAACAACAGAGTGTACTGCTGCACACATGAGTACTGATCAACTCAGTTAGTTCCACTTTACCGTCGTCGTTTTTTACCTTTCTTCATCGGGTACAACGTTTGTCATCATGAGTCAACACATGATTGCACAATGAAATGCAGCTGTGGCTCCCTCAATGCAGCGTTAATTAGGTTAATGAGACGATGACGTCATATGTTTTTCCACGACAAAGACGAGACGAACAAACAGACGATATCGACAAAAACAATGCAGTTTAAGAAATACAAAACTTCATCTAATCTCTATATATTTATTTTTATCAAACTTTTTAAATGCAAAAGTGTTTTAAGTGTTTTCTTTATAGTTGAATGAGACGACGAAGAGGAACAGATGGTTTCCTATTTTCTTTTTTTTCAAGTGATCGTGGTTATGATTTGGAAATCATCGGTGTCAGCTCAGAGAGAGAGAATATGGAGATGCAATCACTCATTTTCACACCCACCCACACACACACACACACACACACACACACTCTCAAGCATCCGACCACACACACCCACACACACGCCAGCATACACTCACACACTCATACACACTCAGAGTCCTCTTAATAAGAAGCAATCAAAGTAAATCTACTTTTTTTTTTACCCTCTAGAAGAGACATTTCTTCCTCGTCAAAGTTCGGCGTCTCAAATGTGTCGTGCGTGTAAATGTGACATCAGAGTCATTTATTAAAGAGAAGAAGAGAAAGAAACAAAATTACTATTAACAAAAACTCTGATATGATGTCATAGATTATTAACCTTGACACCTCAAAGTCAGTTTAAAGGTGTTGATGATGACTACTGCACACGGAAAGAAGAAGCAGAAGAAGTACAAAGCCTTTAGTGTCGAGGTCAGTTCAAGACTACAAGTTTGAAAAAGTAAAAAAAAGGCGACTGGAGATAGAAATAAGGCTAGAGGCTCCATGCTACGTTAGCTGCTAAGTAGCATAACGCACCAGAGTCTCTGTTGGGGCTTGAGCTGCATTGTGGGTAATGTAGATGCCAGGGTTTGATAAGGAAGACCAATGTGTGTAAGAAAAACAACAATATCGTTAGTTCTGCTGCATCGATTTTCATCCTGTTTGTTGTCTCTGTGCGCCATCTTGGTTTTTCGTAACCAATGAACAGAAGTGACCATATTTGGAATGACGAGGACACAAGGTAGCCCCGCCCTAAAGCATCCCCTGCTTTATGGTCTGTGTGACTCT